CTAATGTCGACTGGTTTGCAGAGATTGAGTTACCGGAGGATATGAACTATGAACCGGGTGATTATCTTTCGATTCTCCCAAGGAACCCTGAGGAGAATATTTCAAGAGTCTTGAGTCGTTTTAATTTGTTGCCCGATCAAAATGTGCGTATTAGTCAAGTCTCCATAGTTGCCTTACTTATACATATAAATTTTCAGATCACGATTAAATCAAAGGCATCAACCACACTTCCCACTGACAAACCCGTCAGTGTCTGGGAGGTTCTGTCTGGCTACGTCGAAATTGGACAAACGGCAACTCGCAAGAATATCCAAGAGCTCGTGAAGTTCGCACCCGAAGACGTCAAGCCAAAGCTTGTGGCTCTTCTCGACAACTTCAAAGACGCTATCGTCGATAAACACGTCAGCGTGTTGGATGTCCTCGAGATTTACCCACAGGTCAATATACCCCTAGCCTCTTTCCTCAGTTTACTACCAGCCATGCGTATCCGTCAATACTCCATTTCCAGCTCACCATTATGGAACGAAAGCCGTGTCAGTATTACCCTCTCCGTCGTGGAACTCCCCCACTCAGCCGGTCTTCCCCACAAATTCCTCGGCGTTGCATCTAACTATCTCGCCAAAGTACGTCCGGGTGATCAAGTGCAAGTTGGGACTCGCAGCTCGGCAGCAAGTTTCCATCTTCCCGAGGATCCTTCCATCCCGGTCGTCATGTTTGCTGCTGGATCTGGCATCGCACCTATGCGTGGGTTCATCCAACAGCGTGCTGAACAGGCCAAGTCTGGACGGAATGTGGGCAAGATGGTGCTGTTCTACGGATGTCGCGCAGCGGATCAGGATTTCCTGTATGCAGAGGACGATTTGAAGGAGTGGCAAGACTTGAAGTTCTTGGAGGTTAAGCCGGCCTTTAGCAGGAAGTCTGAAGCGTCATTTGGGTGCAAGTATGTTCAAGAGTGAGTGTCAATTTATTTTCATTTATTGTTAGTATTGTGTGCTGACAGCATTTTATTTTCATAGTCGCGCCTGGTACGACAAGGAATTGATAATTAAATCTTTTGAGGCCGGAGCAAAGGTTAATACTATTTCTTTATTATTGTCATTTTGATATTAATATTTCCACTGGTAGTTCTACACTTGTGGTGCTCCACCCGTCGCTAATGGCCTCAAGGAGACCTTGATGAACATGATCAAGGTTCGCCATGCAGACTGGGATGATGAACATCTCGCTCGTCGATGGGAGGCCGTCCAGAAGGACCGACTGGCGACCGATGTCTTTGCTTAACTTTTGCTTGGATAGAGCTGTTAACGCAATCAACCCTTTCAAGTTGTACTCTCTCCCTCGCGATAATTTTCTCTTATGTTTGCTTGCTTCTGATGTCGTTTTATGGGAACTAGTTTGTCACACATACTGAATAAAAGCCCTTGGTTCGTTTTTGTCAGTCGCTCCCTTTAGATGAGAGGTACTATGTAGTACCGCCGACCGGCATCTAATTTTCACATGATATTTATTTCATGTTATTGACTTACTTGGCTGATGTAAAACTAATCATGATGCATATGTAGGTTTTGCTTTCAGTCGTGTTCATGTTAACATATCCTGTTTCTTTTCTTAATTTCTATTTCCCCCTGTCCCTCGCCGGATGACGTGGCATGACATTACGAATCCGTCTTAGGTAGTATAGTGGTTAGTATTCGTGCCTGTCGAGGGTTCTACTCTAGGTCGCACGAGACCGGGGTTCAATTCTCTCGCCTGCGAGGTTCTTTTTTTATTTTTCACTTTTTAATAAAGTTCTAAATATTATTATAAGCTACTGGGACAAAGCGGTGTTTTACTGGGACTTTCCGCTTAAGGCGGAAGTATAAGCAAGATGTCAACAACTAACCATGGTGGCTTACTCAGTGGGAAGCTGCTTGAATGTGATCGTGAGCTCGAGCTGACCAGCAAATAATGCCGGTGAAAATCGTAATCAATTTGTGTTCAACCCATCACGAGCCGCATTAAGGTGTATGAGAACCTTCGCTGGTCACTCGATCCTTGAATGTGCCTGGTTCTAACTAAACATTCTCGACACTTCAGTCCAATCTTCATCATTTCAGTGTAAGCTGTATCTGTGATCTGCTCAGAGCGCAACGATCCTGAGAGCTCCGTGATCGAAAATAGCGACCTTAAGAAGTGCCCAAGAAGGCGAAGATCGTAGGAGATTTATAAGAAAAACACCATCCAGTCGCGCTTAAGATTCAGAACTTTGCAAATACAGATGTGGAGAAAGTGAGCAGCTTAAGGCGAGCATTTTTTTAAAAGGTTTTGTCCTAAGGGAAGTGGTTCATGGATGTATCGGCCCGAGCCCCTGTAGTACAAGAATTGTCAGCAGCGAAGAAATGAACTTGAAGCCCTCAGAATCCTCCCAACTGGAATGGATACAGCGATTAGAAATCGAATATCAACATAGTGATATTCAATTTATTCATAGCACATCCAAGAAATCTGGCATCTGGGATGGGATACTACAAAGGAGTGTCGCCGCCTAAGCCTAGGTAATCTCTTCACACGTTTAGGAAATGAATCGATCCAAGCCTAGAGGAGATCGACGAAGAGGGCAACGAGATTAAACCATCGAGTATCAATATGGGTAGCATTCAATGTTCAGTAGATTTATCTGATACTCCACGAAATCCATTAGGGATGGGAGGAAATGAAGAACTGCCAGGCATCACTGCGTAAGCTTCCTCAACGCTGTTGTCATTCGTCCTTCGGAATCATACTAGCCTCGTTCTCATAATATGTGATACACCACCAAGACTTGAGCTTCGATTAATTCAGAGGGAATACCTAGTAATGAGCTTTTTAGATCTGCGATGCCGCAGTTGAAGAAAGAAAGATAAAAGACGAGAGAGAGAGAGAGAGAGCATCAGGAAACTTGGTAAAAACCGGCGCCTAATGGCTCGGTAACGAATTTTGGTTATTCCTTTAGAACCACACAGGGATATCTTAACCTTTTTTGAGAACCTGGTTTATATGATCTATAATCCTCTCATGACAAACACCTAGGGCCTCCTATACAGTCTGTGTCAAGATATTGCCCGTGCAAATTTTGCTAGGGAAATGTATATAAACTAGGATCACTAGCATAGTCGAGCAGCTATATAATTTTGCTAGGGAAATGTATATAAACTAGGATCACTAGCATACTCGATCAGCTATAGAATTTTGCTAGGGAAATGTATATAAACTAGGATCACT